TACATAATTCCCTGTGGAAAAAAACCACGGGAATCCCTATCAAGAAAAAAATCCTTTCAAAAGGGGCTGGAATTTTGACAGCTAACTCTCAAACAACCATTCTTCAGTAGAAGGGGGTGCACTAGTCCATCTTCCTGATCATTTAGAGTTTTGGAAATGGGTAGAAAAATGGGGGCACTGGAACTTATCAGGCAAACTATTCTATACTTTAAATAAAAATTTATCTCACCATACTGGAGAAGACCATGGTCCATGTGCTGCTCAGACAGCTGTGCAGATGCTGTTAATGTGCAACTTCAAGGCCCATGCTCCCTTCCCTTCCCCCTTCTCCCTTCCCCCTTCCCCCTTCCCTTCCCTTGGTTCTTTTTTAAAGCAGACATGGACTAGACGGTCCTTCAAGTACATGACATATTCCAATAGTCAGCTGTCCTCTTTAAAGTATGATATATGGACACCCTAACAGCAAAAGAGGAGGAACTTGTTTTTAAATGGTATCACTAGTTCACACGGCTCTTTCTCTCTCCGGCACATGCACACACAAACAAACCTATAAGTGTGTGTTTGTGTGTGCATCCCAATCTTTTCCTAGGTTGCCATTTTTGCTGGAAGTGATAGGCATTAATGAAGAAACTGCTGTTTTATTAGTCTCCACTTGCAGTCTGAAGTGGAACAGTTGAGAAAGAGACTCACCAGGCCATCTGCTGTTGAGGCAGCACTGTGGAAAATGCTTCTGTTCAGGGTTCCAACCAATCCATTCCACCACCCATTCCTGCTTGGCACATCTGGTCTTCCATTTTCTACTTAGCTAGTGTGCTCTGGCCATCGAGAATGATCAGCCTTCATTAGCCTGTTGAGCGAATGACCCCCTCCCACAGCCTACCCCCCTTTTTCCTACAGTGAGGCTGTTTCTGGGGCAGGGAGGAGGGGGTTGGTTCCTTGCAAGGACTAAACATCCTTCAAGCTCTCTGTGACTTCCCTCTTGTGTGTGGATGGCGCCTTTTCTGCTACATAAACAATGTCCTGAACATCCGATAGAGCAGATGATAATGGTGTTCTGCCTCATTGCAAACATTACAAGGAAGCTAACATGAAACCAAATAATAGAAAATACAGCTTAAAGTATTGTCTAACACTCCCACCTCCGTACACAACTAAATCAACAGAGTGGCTTTGCTTAATTCGTTTTCACTACATTCGAGTTTGGCTGCAGGAAGCATTCTCTGCTTTTCCAGATCGTGTTTAGTAGTCGCATCCTATTATGGCATCCCAGGAATTGTTATGAACCATGTTTCTTGTTATAAACTATACTTACTCTTTATAGTCTTCTGACATAATATGAATAATTTTGGAATTCTCAGACCATAATTACCGTGGTCTTGAGATTTCCCAAAAGTATCTGCTTTGAGATGCCTGGGTGCAATACATCAAAGCTTGTAGACCTAAATTGATTTATGTTATCCCAGTAGTCTTTGCTTTGCTCCTTGAATATCTGCGCTTACTGTTTCCTGCAGGTTACTCCAAAATCATGAATTTGGACCAATCCTACAGCAGGGATCTTGTGAGTCTGTAAAGAAGAATCAGACCGAGAGGTTCTTGAATTTGTATATACTTATTGCAAAATGGTGCTGCAAGGAGAAGATGCCTTGCTAATTTGATAAGGGCAGAACATTCAGCTGTTACATTTTCTAAGCCCCTGCATCCAAGAATTGCGTATAGGGAAAGGAAATATACGTGCAATAACAGCTTGGTTGATTTAGATCAGGAGTGTGTGTGCGCACGCGTGCACGCGTTTAAACACCCCTGCCTCTATCCTACTTCCTTGATCAAATTAGTATGCCCACCCCATCTCATGTCTGCATTTAGTAAATCAAAAATATTGGGAGATCAATCATGAATCAATCAATGCAAACTGTGTAGTGTGGCATTAAGCTGCTGGTAATATGTCATAACATTTTACAGTGGTATGCAAAGGCTGCTTCCAAGCACAGATCAAATCCTTCTGGAAAATAAAGGATTGGGCACTATCTTTATTTTTAAGTTACTGTATGTCCCTGAAAATGACCCAGAGGAAGTAGTGTATGTTCTGACTCAAATGTAATGCAAGCTTGTGTCTGTGCAGAACCCAGCCCTCTGTCCTTAACATGGATAAGCCAGGATTTCCTGAAGGTGTGGTCTTTGGTTTCAGTGGTTAATTAAAATGACGTACCTGCAAGTCATGGCCTTCACCTTTCACAAATGTGGCTCATAGCAGCTTCCACTGGTGACATAAAAGTACTTTTCCTCCACGCTTTTGCAGTGGGAGAACTCTCCTCTTTAATATTATTCTGCATGTGCAAAAGGCATACTTTTAGGGCATTGAAAGTAAGTTCTGGAGCAGAACTCTAAAATAAACCAAGTGCTTCTCCTTCTATGATAAAACCAAGCAGAAAATCTACCATATAACAAATATTTTTTTTCCAGAGCTGTAGTAAGGAACAATTAGACATGAGTCTTGTTTATGGCAGCTTTTTGTTGCCAAATGCTAATAGGACCAAGCCCTATCAGGAGGTAGGATAGTGCAGGCAGCTTTTGGTGTGGTTGGCTGAATGCCTCCAATCGCTTGAGGTGTTTACCAACAGGCTGCTAATGCAAAACTTATTGGGGGGTTATTCTTACAAAAGTCTGTTTGAAAAGCAGGTGCCGACTTCCAAACATCCCACAGGGAGATTCTGAGGATTTTTTAAAAGCCTTCATAATATATATAATTGTCTCCCTCTGCTCTATTTATGTAGTTCCTTCTTGGCTTGCCCGTTTTGGTTCTCCTACATTATTCTCAGTTTTGGAAAAAAAACAAAACAAAATGCTGTGATCCTTCCCAACACATTTTCACAAGCCTTTCTCCAATTTGTACAGACTGTGATCTGTCTATGACATATGCTTTCTCCATACCTACCTGGACAAAAGAGGATGAAAATGTTTTCATACCTTAGTTTATGCCATATGCCTGTTTCCTGTTTATCACTGATGTGATAGGATTAATAACTGCAGCTAGTGGTATTAAATGTTTCTGTCTCCTTTCAGATTATTCTAGACGGGTGAGACTGTGTGACAAGGGATTCATGAAAACACGTGTTCTCCCAGTAGCTGGCTTGCTGGGTCCGCTGTAAATGATTCATAGCAATTAGATCTGGGGCTGCAAAAACTATAATTTTGTAGCATATTAATTTTCACCTAGCCAAAAGAGGTGAATGCCCTTTCCTTGGCTGGGCACAGATGAGCACTCTGGATTTATTCAGCTGGGCAAATGAGTGGTGCATTAGAAGGATGTACATAAATTACCACTCTTTCCCCCCTCCCTTATCACTGAGTCTCGTCAATTTTGTGCACTGCAACACTCTGAACGAAACATATTAAAACACGGTACTGTGGTGACGGAAGAGGGGCTGATTAGACTGCAAGACCAAAACTTGAGAAATAAATGGAACACTGGGATTGTATGATATGGTGGGTATCTAATATGATCCTTAGAATGAGGCATATCTATTCTATTAGAAAGGATGCATCCTTTTAAATGAAAACAATTGTGTGTGTGTGTGTATGTGCGCGCCAGAAAGAGAGAGGGAGAGAGAGATCTGCAGATCTTGTATCCCTGGGGTAGTCAGGTAAATTGCACTTCTCTCTCCAGTCCCCCTCCCCCTCCCCAAATAAGCAATGCTCTGGAACTCATCTTGGGGCTGCTCTGCATGTAGAAAGCTGCCAAAATAAAGGACACTTCCTTAAAATTGAGAACATGCATTTCCCCGCACCAGATGGAAAGGTGCTGGTGCTGGGACTGGCTACAGATTTGCTCAGATGAAGAAAACCCCTGTGAACTGTTACTTGGACCAAAATAATAATGCAGGCGATGAATGCGCGGCAACAACAACTCCAGAGTTAAGTTGTTTTGGTTTGTGAAGGGCTTATCCCTCTGGGGGAAGGGAGAGGAGGGACGAGAGGGACGCAGAGGAAAGTGCCAGAGATTAATGAACCTTCTCCTTATTAGTGTTGCTCATGTGCTTTGTGTCTCACAGCTTCAGGCTGCGGATGGGCGGGCGGGCAGGCGCGTGCGGGGGGGCTCGGCAGCGGATGACACAACGTGCAGAGGAAAAAAACTCACGCGAACCCCCCACATACACACGCATTTATGAGGCGGGCGGGCGGGCAGCCTGAGCTAGCCGCGCCGTGTGTGCCTCTGCGCGTGGAGTTGGGGAGCGGGAAGGAGACCGCTCGGGCGGCCAGCGGCAGCAGCTCGCCCGCCGCCGCGCCCGCCGCCGCCCGGGGACTGGGCAGCATGAGCGGGAGCGCAGGAGGCGCGGCGAGCAGAGCGCGCGGAGCCGGCGAGGAGGGAGAGCGCCTAGCACGTTGCTTCTGGACCGCCGTGTGGGCGGGGAGAGGCGAGGCTGAGGGAGACGGAGAAGAAGAAGAGGCAGAAGCGCGGCTGGCACGCAGGCAGTAGTAAACTGAGGGGCCAGGGCGGCAGCCACGACAGCAGCAGACGCCCAGCCAGCCACGCGCTGCCAAAGGGCTGGGCCAGCGAGGAAGGCAGAGCGCGGGAGGCTGGGAGACAGACAGAAATAGAGGCAGCCGGGACCAGGGAGGAAGCCGCCTGGAGACAGGCAGAAGAAGCTCGGGGATTGCAAGGCGCAGGCAGGGAGGGACGCGGGCGCTGAGGGGCGCGGAGGGGAGGCGAGAGGACCGGGCGGCGCGGCGGAAGAGACAATAAGCCCTGCCTAGGCGAAGTTCGGAGGAAGGCGCGGGGAGAGGCTTTCCAGCGCAAATAAGAGCCATGCAGCAGGGGACGTGAGAAGGGTGGTGGCGGTGGCGGTGGCGGTGGGAGAGGGGCTCGCGGCCAGGCAGCAAGCGGAGCCCGGAGAGCGAGGTGCCGGCGCAGCACCTCTCCAGCCCAGGCGGGGAAGAGGCGGAGGCGGAGTGGCAGACCATGCCTTCCCGGGAAGCAGGCGTCGTGTGGTAACAGCACCCTCCTCTGCAGCGCAGGCAGCCCCAAACTACATCGAGAAGCCGGGGACGCCCCCTCACATCCCGTGTGCTCATTCAAGGTAAAGCCAGCGCACCCCAGCCCGTGCGTGCGCGCCCGGCGCGCCTCCTGCTTCCGTGTGCCGCTTGTGTCAGCTTCCGTGTGCTCTCGTCCTGTCTTCGCAGCCATCCGTTGTGTCTGTGCGCGTCTAGGTTTGATCAGCTCAGGGTGGGTCCGAGCACATGTGGGCTGGGGAGAGAAAGGGCTGTGGACTGAGTCAGCGGCGTGTTCGTACACAGAGATCGGGCATTTGAGCTGGTGTTGCTCGTGGTCTGGAAATCGTAGCCAATGTCTGTGCAATTGAGACGACGACTAGATGGGTGATGGTCAGTTCCGCACATGGTAGCGTTATGTTCCGAAAGATGCATTTTCCCCTAAGATGACGTTTGACTCCTTGTATTTGTCTTAAAGGTGGGTAGAGGTTTAAAGGAAGCATAAATACAGACAGGGGATTAGAAAGTTTTCCTACGGAGTCACAATTCGCTGGCACGTTTGTCCTGGCGGAGAACACATGCCACAAACCTATCTTAGCATGTTGTTATTAAGGTGCTTCATATATCTCTTCCAGTTGTGTAGTAAATAACAGAAGACAGGTAACTTGGGAATAGTATTCAACCTGACTGGCAGAATTGCAAGTGTTGTGAAAATAATGTAGGTGCTGGCAGGTTTATTTGATAGCTGTGTGGTTTAAAATCTGTTGAAAGCAGTGTTTTGCTGTATTGGCAACATGGTATTATTTTATTAAAAGGTGTCAGTTAAAATAAATTTATTTTATCCTCAGCCATTTGGAATGAAATTCCATTTTATAAGAACACTTCAAATAGATGTTTCTAATTTAACATTGTTGCAATTTCAAGAGCCCTTTGCTACTATTCTTGTTATTTAAACATTCATTTAACCTCATGGATTTTAGAAGCTGTGTAAATAATGGGGAAATTCAGCACAACATTTTCATAAAAGGGACAGCCCAATATATCATTTCTCAGGTATTCTTAACATTAGGACAAAGTGTTTTGATTTGTTAAGAAGTAATACATTTGGGTTAGCATCCTTATGATGTCATGGAAGAAATTGTCTGGAACCTATGAAGCTTTCTGTAATCCCATTTAAGTATCAGAAATCAGCTGTCTGCAGTGTACATGGCTTGCAGTTACTTCATTGCTACTGTGAGATACATTTTATTTGAGAATCTGCATCCTTCAAATGCTTTGTTTCTAGGGTTAAACAAAGCATGGGTTCATTCTGTCATCTTTTCTTGTTGAGCTTGGTTCATGTTGAGAACTTTTTGGAAAAGTACCATTTCATCCGGCTGTAGCAGCATTTTCCTGAACTGTGTGCTTTTACCTATTCAGCTGCTGTGCTTAAACCCATCAGTGTTATTGCTGTCCATTTTGCATAAGACAACAAGAGAAGCATCATGTTTTTGTGGCACTTTGCTTGCCTATAGCTTGCCTATAGCTCAATGCATTAAAACACTTCAAAATGATAAGTATTTAAAATAAGTGCAGTGCTTTGTGTTTTCTGTGTGCTTGAATTTCCAACTCCATTGCTTTAAAAAACATAACTGCATACTGGTCTTTTAAAGATTGTTCATCATGGATTGAGGCAAGTCGGTATGTGCAATTAGGCTTGCAAATTACTAATCTTACATTGACTTTGCTCTCAGTTTCCAACTGAGCCTGGTTACCTTGAGAACTGTAGCACGGGCACTCTTAAGGCATGCTCCACTTGGGAGTTCGGGTGTGTTCTCTTTGTAACACTACTTAATGAAGAAGCATCTCACTCTGCCATAAAGAAGCATAATGGAAGAGGAGAGCGATGATTGGCTCTGGCTACTGAAAAAAAAGGGGAAAAAAAGCAAAGGTAAAAGCTGTCTGTGGAATGTGGTGTTTCAATTCCATGTATGATATGCTGGAGAGTAGCTGGGTAGTAAATCTTTGCAAGGGTTGGAGAAAGTGGGGAAGAACTAAAGGAGAGCTCTTTAGAAGTTGTGAGAAAGTGCTGATGACAGGTTGGGTCTTGCTGTAGGGATGCTGATCAACTTCAGTTTTTGATTTAATTCAAAGACCTATTAAGCTATTGAAAATTGTATTTGTTTTTCAAAATTTTACTAATTCTGTAGCATTGTGAAATATTCAGAAATTCTATGTAAATCTTGTACTGTTTGCTATTTTAACTGTAAACTGGTTGCATAAAGACTTTTTTCATTTAACCCCCCCCCCCCCGTACTTTCATATAATGCCCATGTAGTGCATAGAAGTGCATTCAGTTTATGCTACTTGTGATCATTACTTGTTGTATTCACAGAATGTAAGCATATGAAAGCCGTGGGTGATATTTCTGAGTAAAATAAAACACCTATAGGTTTATAATAGCAAGTTCTTTATGTATTGAAGGGCTAACTACTTATGAAAGAAAACATTTTTCTGTAGGAGAACATTTCATAAATCTGAAGTATGCATCTGAAATATTCATAGGAGACCACCTGCCATTATATAAATAAGCTAGTCCCTGATTAACTGTTCCATGCAAAACATTTTTATCCCCCTTCACTTCCTCAAGCATTATAAATACTCTACATAATACTTAACATCTCAGTACTGTGTACCAAGGCTACTGTGTATGTTGTTTGGGTTGTATACTTGCCTTGTGGCCTAAAGGGCTTAAGTACAAGGATTCCATGCCTGCGCAAAGTTCACAGATCCTATTGGTATTCATCTGAAAGCAAGTCTCACTTATTTTAGTGGTGCTTACACCCAAACATGTCTGCACAGAAATGCAAGATTCCTGCAATAAGAATGCATGTGCGTACACAAGTGTGTGAATATGGGTGCAATATAGGCTATTTCTGAACTGCAGGTATATACAGAAATTATCAGATGAAATGATCACCCCAAGTGATCAGAAAATTACATTTAGAAGAGACATTGGGATTTGAGAGGGTAATTCTGTAGCAGCTAATTGGTTCAAAGTATTACTTGCCCCAAATTACTAAAGGAGCTCATTATTTCCAAATAGTCTATTAACATTTTCAGAGGCATTTCTAGTCTTTTCCCAGGCATAGAGATGGGTATCCTTTTGCTGCAGATTGGGCATTTTGCATATAGAGAACTAACTTTAATCCTTTATCCACTGTAATTGCTAAGGTAAAAAGAATTAAGTCAGTGCTGGTCTTCTCCATCTCCTCCAGAATGGGCAAATATGCTCTGAATGCCTAAAAGAAAAGAGGGATGTCCTACTGTTAAATGAGGAGAATAACATTAACATAGTTCATCTAGATGGAGAAAGGAAAGCTGTCAAATATCAAGAATGTGATCTGAACTATCTGGGTTTGAAAATTGGGGTACCAAAGAATAGATGCCAGAACATTCCATATAGATATATGAAAGAGTATTACCATTGATTGCATGATTTTGTATCAGGTTATTTGTTATATATGTTGGGTACACATGTGCCCAATTCCGAAAGAAGAGTGAAAAATACTCGTGTAACCATCAAATGGAATTTTGGTACTTTTCCTAATTCGATCTAGAACTTAACTTCCTGTGACTTAGTTGCATGAACCAGATGACATTGCTTTCATCTGGGTATCAGAAAGTCTAGACAGACAAGCAGCCGCAAGATTATTGGATTCTTTTAGTTACAAGCAAGTTGTAAGGGAAAAGAAACAAGATACAATACAATAACCAAATATTCTAACCTATGTTATTTTGCTTTTAGTTAGAACTATGGGTTCAAGGGAATGACTGTCTGGAATTACTTTTCAGAAAAAGAGCACAATTCATTATGTATGTATCTTCATCATGTGTTAATATGCCAAAAAAATGATTGGCTGGAGAAAAAATTCTTTCTGCATCATGTAAGAACAGAAGAATTGTCTTGCTGGATCAGATGAAGACTCTTTGAATCCAGCATTTCTTTCTAGTACTAGCCAGCCAAATACTTCATTAACTCGAGCAGGGGATAAAGTGATGACCATGCCATATTGTTTTCTTCTAACACCAGGTATGCTGAGGTACACTCTGTCAACATGGTGGTTAACTATCATGGCTTATATTGGCACTATGCACATGTAAACATTCATCAGATCCCATGGGCATGGAAGTCAGTGGTCGTATAACTATTAAGCTTTACATATAGTAGGATATATAGCCAGTCTTGACTCTGTGCTAAGCATAAATGTTAGTCACACATGTTAAATGTAATAAGGATCTAATATAAATACATGCATGTGGAAGCTGAGATTGCCTGCATTTCCCTTCTGTACATACATGCAATAGCAAAAGATCAAGACAGACAGATCTGCCCCACTACTCACCGTTATTTGGAGTTTGCAATCCACACTTGTACTGGGTCCAGTGATAATAGCTGGAATATTTGTCTTGCAAGAGATATTGAAATGAGAATAAGAGTGGTAGAATGAGGCAAATCTTCTTTCTAAAGCAGTAAACCAAATTATTTTGGAGAAAGAACTATTCTAGCCAAATTTGTTCTTTTAAAAACATAATGTTCTGAATTATTGGGATGCATGGGATTTCTAATTCAGTTTTTATAGGGGACTGCAATAACTTGAAACTATTCTGGGGAAGAAATCACAAATGGATAAATAGGGTATTATGCACATAAAAAAATCTGCTCTTGTTAGCTGAACATTTTCCTGGTGGCTTTATTTCGGATCATATGGTCATTTGGAGAATATCTATATCATAAATAATAAGTTCAATGGACAGCATTGTCTTGTGGAAATATTTACATGTTTTCTGCACTGAACAAATATTATTACCCTAATATTCTCTACTACTAGGATGGTTTTAACTTTAATAAATTAATCATTGCCATAATATAAGTACAAGTTTGCCCATATTTTATAGATGGGAAATATGAGTCACAGATGGTAAAGGAGATGTATAGTAAAGTATTTTCAGCACACCAAGGTACAATCAATAGGATGCAAGCACTTAACTGTGTTTAGGCCCCTTCCAAGAGAAGTTGACTCTCTGTAGATCACACCCAGTTGTTGTT